CTTCATAAGCCTTGCCTGAAACTTGGTGTCATATGTGTGTGTACACTCCCTGTGGTTGAAAGCCATTCCCTTTAAATTTGTTCTACCAAATTCAGTTTTAGGATTTTTGGTTCTTTGGCTTTTGTTCATACTATAAATAATTGTTCATTGGCCACTGGGTTGAAATTGTTATAAAAGATCCTGGAAAAGTCACTGGATAGTATGACTCCTTAATCATTAGCAATCTGTGTTTGCTGAGTTTTAAGCCCTCAGCACTGTTTTCTGGAGAACGAATTTGAGAACTCTGCGTTTTCTCCAACCTGCATGTAATTCAGTGACTTTTTAAACTGCTCAGTAATATTTGAGATATCATCAGTAATATGGCAGCAGCATTACAGTTTTATCTAATACAAATAGGAGGGCTTATTCAAATTTAGATAACATTGGGTCAATCACGGTATATTTAAAATTAAATCAATCTGTGGCAGGAGGCCCAGACCTGATGAGCGCGCCATGGCAGAGTCCATGCTCTGCCACAGCAAACAGGTTAGGCTCGCTCAGGGAGCATTTTACAGGGATTGTAAAAGGTACCTTGTTGAAACATGATGTTTCTCTTTATTCCATAGATACTTTAACATTAGTGAATTTTATGAGGGAAAAAAAGATGAGAGTTTAACCACTAGCGAGATTTGGCAGTTTCAATTAAACAATTGAAACCTTTAAATTTTAATTTTGAAATCAGTGACTGCTGATGTTGGAGTATCCGGCTTTGTTTTTCTAGTGGGGTGATGTACTTTTGTATTTTTGACCTCTCGGGGTAAAAGTTTGGGAGTATTGCATCGTGTGGGTGTAGTATGTTTCCCTGTTCTCTGTTCCAGTTGGCGTACCCTGAGAGACCCAATTATAAAGAAATCTGTTGTAGGACAAATATGGATAGAAAACATACATCCAAGCATTTTTTTTTTCTTTCTTACTAATGAGAAGTTCTACTTTCTGTCCTCTGCTTTATTACTAAACTGCTTTGAGGTCACCTGCTCTTTTTGAAAATAGCTAGTTTTCCCATGTTGTTCCAAAACCTTCCTATAAAAATGTAATTTTTTTTTAAAAGAATGCTTGACTCTATCAATAACTGGGCCTCAACTTTGTTCTTTTAAAATCAAATATTTGACCCTGAAGAGCTCTTTCAGCTTAAAATCTTCTACTCCTGGAATTCTGGAGTTGAGAGTCTAATATTGCCACTAAGAACAGCTATAGGGTCTAGATCTTCCGTCCCATTTAGTGTTTGTCTGGTGTAAAGTGATTTCTTTCTGGACAAGAACACCCACCTACAAGTTGCTGCTCTGCTAGATTCAGATAGCTTCCAGGAGCAACAAGAACAAAAAGGATGGTATGAAAACATATTAGATGTGACTTGATATTTTCTGATCTGATTCACAATGATTAGTTATTACTGCTTCCATTTTTTTCCATATGAAGCCAGGGTTCAGAAAAGATGAACAGCTTGCCCAAGATCATGTAGCCAGTAGTAAGGAATCCATAGGTAAACTCTTGTCTGTGTGGCTCCTAAGCCTTACATTTCCAACTCTGCCAGACTAGCACCAATAAAGTTATCGGCTCTCTAGAAATTATCCTTCAGAGGTAGAGGTATTTGTGAGTTGGTGCTGTTCATGTGAATGTCAAGGAAGGCACTGATCTTCTAGCTGAAACTTTTGCAGACAACTTTAAGTATTTTAATAATGTATATGACTTATGAGCCTCGTATATTTGTAATGATTGGCATAGGCCTTCCATTTGTAAACTGTTGCAGTTAAGTCATCACCCCCAGCATCCTTTGTAACCCTCAGCTCTCTTGCTGGTGTCGATGACGTCGGGTCTGGAATCCACTCTTGAGGCAGTCTGTAGGTTGTTTATCACCATTAGCCCTCATTATTTTAAATGAGTACCCACCCACCTTATATTCTGTAACCACATGTTTCCAGAACTTCTCTGGAGATAACATCTTGTACCACTCCCTCAAGCCCCCCTCCCCCCTTTTAAAACTTATTCACAAATGTTTTGTAACTGAAGTCCAGAAGGTATGAGGGAAAACAGCTATAAAGAGCGAGCCTCTCTGGGTGTGTGAAATTCAGAACAATTTGGAAAACAAGTGTTGTTCCTGAATCTGAAGCTTTGAAACAAAACTCCACTGTGTCGTTAACACATATTAGTTTGTAAATATGGAGTCCCACTAATTGCACTTATAGCTCACAGCAAAACTACCTGTTATGTCTTGTTACTTGAAGGGGAAAAAGCGAGAGAATTATATAGGTGTATGTGTTTTTAAAAATTGGAATGCAGAGAATAGTGTGGTGTAAATTCTCTCTAATTATGTGTCTTTTTCTGGTGAGGCAATTAATCAGTTTTTCTGTTCCAGTGATGCTCAGCCTGAATTCAAGGTGTGCCAAATATAGAAGAAACTGCAGAAAGTGCCTAAATTATGCTTGTCCTTCTCTCTCCTTTTATTGGAATGACTAAAGAGCACCAAAATTGTGTAATATTTTACAGAAATCACTGCTTACTCAGACTGTTATTTTGCCTTTCAGTATGATTAAATGTTTTGTTGTGTTCTTCATAATTTTATTGGTTAAGGCCAAATGTGTTTCCAGTGGGAGTGACTCAGGAGTTTTATAATGACAAACTAATAGTCTCTAAATTGTGTGCCATGGCAAAAATGTCAGAAACACGCCTTTTCTATAAAATGAACCTCATGTGTTTTCGTCAGGTGGGGTGGGATCCACCATGAATCATAGAAGCATATAATGTGAGACCATATGCTTGTGCCCAAATAATCAGTTCAACTCCCCCATTTTATAAATGAGGAAACTGAGACCTGGGTTTCCACAGTAGCTCAGTGGCATTGCCAGGAGTTGAACTGGCTTCTCCTGACCTGGTTGTGGTGCTGTTTCTTTAGGATCTTACTTGAGTGTTTATGAAAAACAAAGGATTTCCCTCCACTTTCCCAGACATAAAGACAACTATCTAAAGCAGTATTGGGGGACTCCCTAGTGGTGTAGGGTTTAAAGTCTCAGCCCTATCAAGCTTTCACCAGCCCCGGGGGCATGAGTTCCATCCCCAGCCAGGGAGCTGACCCACGTGGCCCAGCAGACCTCTCCTGTCACCCCCGCCACGCCCCTCAGCAGTGTATTTCAGTAGATCTGCCTGTTCTGCTCCCTGTTTTGTCTCTGGTGAATCCTCTTACCCCGCACCGCTGGCCTACTCCCCAGTTCTTGCATGCATAAATAAATCAATCTTAAAAAAAATAAATACAGCATTCGGGGCGGTATTTAAAAATGATCCCTTGAGAAGTATATTAATTTTATTTTTCTTACAAGTTATTAATAAAATCTGAGTTGTTTCCAATGATAGAAAATTTTAGAATGCATGGGATGCTATGGCCATAGAATTCTTCTTAGGAGAAATTTCATGTTCTGAGAAATTTATATGAACTTTGATTCCTCAGTTTCTAAAGCTATGGATAGTTCTTTTTAAAAATCATGAAGCAAAAGTGTTTTTCCCGAGATTCACTGTAGATTGTGCCTCTGTTCAGCCTTCGTGAGTTGGGGGTTTGCTTTATATTTTGATTGAAGGGAGAGAAGTCAGGATTCAGAGCGTACGGAGGAACACTCAGTGTTTGCCATTCAGGTTGTGGACTCCGGACCGGCTACACCACTTGTTGGGTGGCCTTGGGAAGGTTATTTCACCCTTCATTATGCTCCATTTCCCCATTCGTAAAGTCAAGTTTTTCTGTGTCTTATCAGTGTCTTTTGCGTGTTAGCTGCCACTACTATGGCTATTTTTCTTCTGCTGCTGCTGTTACTGTTATTCCCAAGCCAACAATTTTTTTCTAAACCTGCCAGGGCAAAGGGCTAGTAAGGGAGGATGCACATTTTCACTTCCAAAGTTTAGTGAGAAGAAAGGTGTGGAGAAGAGACCCACTGAATCACCATGATGCACACTTTAACCAAAAAATAAATAAATGAAAGGAACTGTTACTTGCCCAAAGTCATGAGGATAAGTGTTTTTATTGTTAGCTGACTTTGGCTTGCTTGCTTCTCTTCTGCCTCTTTAGACTGATATGTCTAATCTAGTTCTGGAAGGTCACACATTGAATGTTCTTGGTGTTTTCTGGAAAGGAGACACCTGAGGACTTGGCTTCACCAGATAAGATGCACATGAACTTGAAGCAGGCAGCCAACCCGGTGCATGCTGGGACTGTCCTTTAAGGTTGCCTTAACCTGTCTGCCGTGGTGTGGTGACTATGTTAAGGACAGTAGAGAAGGAGAAAGCAGGCAGCTGTCAGGGAAGACGGAAATTTGTTATTAAGTAATTTTTTCAGCTGTTTGAAATAGCTAATTGTCGATTTATATCATCGAGTGAGTTCTCTTCTTTCTGCTGCCTCTCTAAGGAAAAACTGGAAATGGATTGCATACCTGTCATGTACACACTTGTCTCCAGCCTGCGTCTGTTATAGGCTAAACATGAGATCCACTTACAACTATTACCTGGAGGACTTTTATAGGTTTTGCAGAAAATATGACAGGGCTACAGCTGGGACCTACTTTATTATCACTGACAGTGGCTTAAGAAGCCACCCTTGCCTGCAGATCTCTTTACCAAACCCTGGGGTATTCATTTCTTTATTTTTATCAAGTACAGCACTTTGAATACAGAACACTGGGAAGGTACCATTGCTCCCTCGCTGTAGGCAGTTTGAGACCTTTTTTCCATGGATCCTTAAAGGGGAAAAACCCAGGATCTGGACATGTTTCCAAATGATATGACATAATTATAATAAAAGATCAAACTTTTCTGTTTCTGTGCCTTCTGAAGCCATAGTATGACCATTGGTATGTCTGTCTTCTCTGCTCATTTTTCTTGCTTCTTGACAAGATGTCAGCGCATAATTATTTTTTTATTGAACTAAGTGCTTAAAGTGTAATATCTCCTAGTTAACCAACTTCTTTTAATTTTATGTTTTCCAGGGATATCAGTATGAACAACATTACTCAGTTACCAGAAGATGCATTTAAGAACTTCCCTTTTCTAGAAGAGCTGTAAGTATTATTTTGAGAAATAGTTTTTGCGCTTTCCTGTCCTCTTTGAAAGCTCTTAAGATAGTCTGTTTCTTAAGCGACATAGATTTCAGTAGGCTTTGTGCAGAGGAAATCATGTTTTGGGAGAAACAAACTTGATTTTTTTTTTAAGCAATGTCATTGCTGGTGTTATTTTTGAAAGTCAGGATTAAAAACTCTACTTCTGGGCCTCCCTGGTGGTGCAGGGGTTAAGCACTGCACTATGAAGCAATCCACAGCCTCTGCAGCACTAGTTCGATCTCCGGCAGGCCAGGGAGCTACCCACATGGTGCAGCAGACCTCTCCTGTCTCGTCCACTGCTCCCCTCAGCGGTGTATTTTAGTTAGTCTGCCTGTTCTGTTCCCTATTCTGTCTCTGGTGAGTCCTCTCACCCCCTGCATCTCTGGTCTGTACCCCAGCTCTTGTATGCATAAATAATTAAATCTTTTAAAAAAAGTAAAAAATGCTACTTCCACACGACTTTTTTTGCTGCAATTATTATAACCGTGAATGCTGCAGTGACACAAGTTAATTACAGTGTTATCCCATGATAACAAGGCTGCTGTGTAATTACCATTGTTGCCAAAGGAATTGCTGTACGGGCAACACAACCATAAAATAAAAATAATACAAGGCATTTCAGGGTCAAGATGCAGCAGGCAACACCTATTGTGCAAGGGAGCGAAAGACTGACCATAGGGCCCTTTGGATATTTGTGGGTGACCTTGGGGGATGGGGTGAAGGTGTGGAACATCATCCAGTCTCTAAGGATACGTTTTTTAAAAAAAGATTTTTTTATTTATGGACCTCTGGCATAAACGTGCAGGGTGGGGGGAGGGATAAGAGGATTTACCAGAGACAGAATGGGGAGCAGAACAGGCAGATCCACTGAAATACACTGCTGAGGGGAGCAGCAGGAGAGACAGGAGAGGTCTGCTGCACCATGTGGGTTGCTCCCTGGCCAGGGAATCAAACTCATGCTGCAGGGGCTGGCGATAGCTTGATAGCGCTGTCTTTAACCCCTGAGCCACCAGAGAGGCCCAGTCACTTTTCGATTTTAAAAGAATTGGGAAGTATGTAATACATTTTAAGAATCCGGGTGGAAAAAGAAAATCAGGCCAGAATCAAGTTAAATGTAGGCCATAAATGTCCAAGTTAATGGAAAACGTGATATGTGGAGGTAAGAAGTGACAGTTTGAGAGTAAGAACATCAAAGAGAGGGGTACACCCCTGAAAGAATCTAAATTCCTATTACAGTGTGTCTTGCAGCCCAGCTGTTGAGCATTAGATCCCAGTTAGCCAAGTCTCCTCGCTCAGCTCGGCCCCTCCCCCAGTGCGGGGAACATGGATCAAATATAAGCCATGCAGGTTGTGTTCCCTGCTTCTGACCGAGCATTGAAACAGCAGTGGAGGGATTTAATAATGTTAAAGAGAAAGTTTTCTTCCCACACTACTTAGTTGAACATAATGTTCCCACAGCAAAAACTGAACAGAGATTATTTGCCACATCCAAGCTTGTGAACTGGGTCAAGTTACTTAACCTCCCTCTGCTCCCTCTCTTTGTCTATAAGGTGCAGATAACGAGAGTCCCTCCCTCTGGTATTCTGGTGAAGACAGAATGAATTCATAGATGTTAAATGCTCAGGACAGTGCATGAAATAGTGAGCGTTTTGTAAATGCTAGCTAGTATTTATTTTACTATTTTAAAATATCATAAGGGGGAAAAAAAGCTAAATGTTATCTTTGGGTAAAGGGATAAAGTGCATATTTTATTTAAATTTTGCTCTTTCTATCGTCAACATTAACTATTTTGTAATAAATATCTATTTTTAATTAAAAATTTAAATTGGATTTAAAAGTTGTAAACTGTATCCGAAGCCCTCCTTCCCCAAAATGAAACTTTGAGATGCTTTGCTTGTTCCTTCTTACTTCACCATGTAGTTTTGGACTTCAGGATTAGTCTCCCTTTACAGAAGTCATTGTACTATGAAAGGGCCTGAATCAGCGGTTATTCAGCCATTGTGTAGTCTGGGGACTGTGGGACACACCACATAGGAAATGCCAGAGCTCTCCTTTTCCTTGGGCCCTGGGGGTGCAGCCCACCTTTCTAAATACACTTGATTGCCTGTCCCACCCTAAGGGATTTCTCTGTGAGAGCTTGGATGTGGGTGGAGACCAACCTGGTTAATCACCACTTTGTGAAGTTCACATCTTGGATTTCTTAAAATCTCAAATGACCAAGCATATGTTAAGTTTATGTATTCTGTCAATTGGGACTTTTAATTAGAACCAAATTCAACTCGAGTGCTAGCTCCTTGTAGCTAGGTCATGTTCTGTCCATAGTCTGCAGTTGCGCTGATGAAGCCCATCAAGTCAGGTTGTTATAGATTCCCCAAATGTTGTAAGGGATTTCAAAAATGAATTCATTTAGGAAGCTGATAGTTAATTTTAAAGAATACATCAGGATTGTCTTAATACTCTGGTAATGCTTCAGGCATTCAAAGGAATTTCTTTTCTTTGTTAAAAGTATGGTAAAAGGCTCATGGTTTTTTCCTTTTTCTTTATAAGACATTGTTGTTGATTTTGACATTCCAAAATGATACTGCATTGACTACTGTAATATTTCATAAACAATGTGACCATTTGTCCAGAAGTCATCTGGAAGTCATTTAAGAGTGATTATGAGCTGAAGTGCCCTGAATAGAAAATAAATGATTTACTGAGGGCTTTTTCCCCCATGATAGTTAATGAGGTGTACTTTACAAGAGGTGACTGGTTTGGCCAAATTAATCCAGACTGCTTGTAGTAGTGGGTGAATTTATTTTCCAGCGATACCTATGTGTTTATAGATATTTGCACATTCGCTTATTCTTTCTACAAACACTAAATCCCACTCTGCGCCTGGGTCTGTGGTGGATGCCAGGGATAGAGACACGTTAAGTGTGGTCTTTGTCTTTGGAATCGACAGACTGTCTAGAGTGGTGCTGTTTAGTATCATAGTCACCAGCCACAGGTGCTACTTAAATTGAGATTTAAAGTAACTAAAACTAAATAAAATTCAATTACTTAGTTTAATTAAACTAAGGAAATCCAGTTCCTTAGTTTAACTATTTTCAAGTCTTCAGTAGTCACCTGTGTCTACTGGCTTATTGTATTGGGGAGCACAGACACGGAACATGGCCAGCATTGAGACAGGTCAGTTGGGCAACTTCAGTTTAGAGGAAGAGAGGGAACTAACACCTGGTGTGGTGTGGCAGAGACAGTCATAGAGGTGAGTACAGGATCGGTGGAAACCTAAAGCATTACATGTACCTGAGACTATGGAATTGGGGGAAGGCTTCCCAGAATAAACTTCCGGTGAGTTTTGAAGAAGGATGCTCTAGGAAGAACCTTAGAATATGTAGATATTTCAGAAGTTTTAGAACATATGATGTGGTTATTCCTACTGAAATACAGAGAAATTTGAAATACTAAGGGAGAGAGTGATCCCAGGGGTGAGGCCAGTTCATGACTATTTAAGCTAAGGAGTTTAGATTTCATTCTGAAGGAGTTGAAATGAACATGACAGTGAGTGAGCAACAGGTTCAAGATTGAGATTTTTACTGAATGCCATTTACTGAGACTGGGAACCCAGAGAGCTCATCTGTGTGATTCATGAAGAGTTCCGTTTTATAACGATGGAAAATAGAGCTTTATATTGCGCAAATGTCCATTCTCATAACTCTGTGAGGAGTTAGAGTTTTGTAAGAGCAGAAGGTGAGCTGAAGAGCCTAAATACCTCCTTCAAGTTCACGTGCTTGTTTTATACTTTTGCTGGGATGTCAGAGGTGTAGAGCCCCATCCTTATGAAACACAGAGTGAATCGTACATATTCCCAAGGGGTATTTCATCCTACTTTTTCAGTAAATATGTGCTTTAGATAATTCCTAATAACTGCTCCCAACTTTTTTTACATTTAACCTACTTTGACAATTTCTAAACATCAAACCAGTGATTTTTCCACCCTCTCTCTGAGAATATGAAGTATAGGTTCTAGCTGCAAATTTAATACATCTAAATTTGTAATCTCTTGATTTTTTTTGCACCTCAGTTTTCTACTTTTGAAAATGGTACCTCTCATAATACTATTATAAAGGGAAAATGGAGATAATTGATGTAAAAGTTCTTTGTGGCCATAAAGTACAATGCATATTAGTGAGTAAATTTCACCAATCCTCTTAAACATGGCAGTCTCCCTTTTTCTTGAAATATTTGGGGAAGAGGTTGTTTTGCTTGAAGATGGCTATTGGAGTAGGCCAATATGGGTTTCTGTTAGCAATGTGAAGAAAAGCCAGAATTTTTGGAAAACATTCATTTTCATTAGTGGAATCTGTTTTCTGGTGTGATGCTGCCACAGGCAGCATTTTCAGGCCTCCTTGAGACCTGTCTGGGCATTGGTAGCCATTTGGGGAATGGCTGAAATGTCAAGTTGTGAAATTGATTTAATGAGAAGCAGCAGAAGGAATATCTAACTACTTTTCCATAGGCTACCTCTGAAAAAATTCATGGATGTTACTTTGAGCTTGGATGTTGCAACAGCAGTAGAAACCATTGCCAGCTTTGGCACTTGTACAGTCATTGTTTAATATGTACTAGAGGACTTGGATAATTCTTTTGTTTTCAAAATGTACTTTGACTTTGGAAAACTTCACAAGGCTAAAGTGAAACCTTGGTCTCTTGAGTTCTAATTCAAGATCTGTAGGACAGTAATTTTAAATGGAAGTGTTATATTACAAAAAGAGAACTAGTAAATAATTAAAACAGTGAGATTTTAAATCATATATAGAGTAGGTCAAATCTAAAACTAAATGATTTTAGATACTTAAATTTGATCAGTACAGGGTCTCCCCGGTGGCGCAGCGGTTGAGCACTGGGTTGCAAAGCTGCCCGCAGCCTCTGCAGTGCTGGTTCGATCACCGGCTGCTCCCCGGCCACCGGAGGAG